AAAGTTATAAACATATCCATTTAAAAATATTGCTGTGCCAATGTTTGAGTTTTTGTCAATATTATTGACACACAAGTTTAAAAAAAGAATAACTCAGAAAGTTTTTATTGTAAAATAAAATTTTTTTTAAATTATTTTTAAATAACCTTTCATATTACCTTTAGGGCTGTTTATTAATTACGTCAACAAATTTTTTTCAAATTTTTACCTCCCCCCTCTCCCTTATCAACACTTTGTCAAATTTCCAGAGACCCCTACCCCTATAAAATTACGTCAATTATTGATTACCCCCCCCCCCTATACAAAGAAGCTACGCTACAAATTTTCCGTTATTTAAGCAATGAAACTCAAAAAAAAAACTTTAATCAACTTTAATTGACCTCTCTCCCTCCCCCTTGTCAACAATTGTCCACCTCCCCCTATTTTGTTGACGTAATTGATGGACAATCCCTTCGGTTCCATTTTAGACTTCTGATTATAATTAACAAATCTTGAAATCAAAATAATGTTTTTGATTTCTTCGGAAACGAAAACCGGATCGAAGTTAACATTGGCGCCAAATTATTGCGCTTTTTTTTTACTTATATTAAAATTGTTGTTAAAACAGCAAAAAATTTTTGCTCAAATAGTAGACGATAGATTACTTTGTTTATACGGTGATGATTTTTTACTTTGTTTATACGGTGATGATTTCAACTAGAAATAGCTATGCATTTTTTAAAACAAAATGAAATAAATTTTACAATAATTCCAATAATTGAGTCATGCCAATAACTGTGACACTATCATATATATATATATATATATATATATATATATATATATATATATATATATATATATATATATATATATATATATATATATATATATATATATATATATATATATATATATATATATATATATATATATATATATATATATATATACATATGAAATTAAATTAAAAAAGCTGTTCATTCTTTATTTAGTCATCAAATTGCAGTTCTTGAGATTAAAATGTTTTACTTATTATAATAAATAAAAAATCACAGTTACATTTATCTAACCTTATGAAAAGCTTTCACTTTTTACCTACCGTATTTTTTATCAAATATTTTTATAAAATCATTGCATATCAGCATAAATTTTAATACAAAATTAAAGTGCAGAAATATTTTGTTGTAATATCTAAAAATATATCTTGTAAACGTTTAGTTTCACTTTTATGGTGTCATCATGGATAACGGAAAAAACATTTAAATAACGGCAATTATGGCAAAACGACATTTGGCCAAAACTCTGTATCCACCGCATTCGAGCCAGTGCTTGCCCAAAATCAAATACCGTCGCAGTGGCTCACGACTACTCGTCAGAGTTCTGGCATTTCGTCGCACGCCGCTGCGACTCTTAGCGATGATTTACCAAACATGAAAAAGTTGCTTGAATCGCTTGCCAGACTCGCGCCAGTAATGGCCCATTACTAATATAGTCGCAATGGAGTGCGATGATTAGTCAGAGCTCTGGCCCGGAGTCGTGTGCTGTCTGGGTTCCTTAGCCTTTCCCATGCTTTTAAAATATTACTAAATAATTGAATTATAAAATTTTACAAATATTTTGGCAATTAGTTATACTTTACTGCCTTTGAATTATCTTAAAGTAATTAAATTATTAAATTTCACAAATATTTTGGCCTTAAATTTTGCTTTTGTTTTCAAAAACATGATTTAATTTAAAAATATGATACTGTTTCTAAACTTTTGCACAGAATTTTTTTCAAAAAAACAACTAAATGTTAATTGTCAATTTTACAACTTTTGTGGTTTGTATTTTAAATTGAAACAACATTGAGTAAAAATCTCAGCTTATTTAAGTTTATGAAAAGTTAAGCAGTAAAAACTGAATAAAAGTTGGTGTTTCTAAACTTTTGCACACTACTGTATAAAGGTGAGTTTCCACTCATCCGTTATTTCACGGAACGGGAAAGGGAAGGAAAAAAATAATCACGTGGGCATGCGTATTATAAGTTTTAATTTGTCCGAAGTAAAACTACGCATGCTCAAGTGATTATTTTTCCTATTCGGTTCCCGTAGAAAAACGGATGAGTGGAAACTCACCTTAAAAGTTTAAACTTTGCAAAGATGATATTTTTTCCTTTTTTGTTTGAAGCTTAAAATTTTACTTATTATCAAATAAACATATTTCTTAAAACTTTGAATTTAAGCGCCAAAAGCGAATTTTTGTGAAACATATTAGAGAAACTTTCGTAAGACATCTCCTTTTTTTTAAAAAAAAAAATTTCCTTAATTGTTTCTATAAGTAAAGCTAACAGTCTAATACAAAACTAACACAAAAATTTAATGTCATATTAAGGGATTTCCCGCGGAAATTTAAAAATCTCACGCGGATCCAACGGGATTACAAGTAAGACTTGTTTATTGGATATGGAAAAGCAAAATTTAACAAATGTTAATGACTAGATTTAATTTTTAAAATTTTACACTAAAAAAAAAAAAACAATGTACCACTGTCGCTCTAAGATCAAAGAAAGTAAATATTGTTTACAATCTCTTGAAAGTTTTGCAATATAATGAGATGTTATAATTTTCACTCTAATGTTATACCCTTATAATAAAATGTTAGATTTTGTAAGAAAGGTTTTTCAAACGGTTCAGAAAACTATGAAAACATTAACAAGACATTGATAAGTTAAAAAAAATTAATAAGTTTTTGATAATAAATTTTTAATTTTAATAACTTTATAATAATGAGAAAAATAAATAATGAAGTTTTTTTTGTTTGTAAATATTATTTTTCTTTTATATTGTTTGGTGATTTTTCTTTCTTTTCTTTGAGACATTTTTTTTTTCAACTTATCAAAAAAAGTTTATTTGATTTCTTTGTTTGGCTTTAATTTTTTTTTTCGTTTTCAACTCAATCAATTTTACAATTTGATTGAATGAAAAATATAAATATAAACTAAAATAAAAATATTCAGTATTGGACAAAACATTTGCAACCAACATCGATCAATGCTATAAAGTGTTCCTAATTTTACATGTCTTAAAAACGAAACGAACTATACTACCTCAGCAAGCAGTTCAGGAGTCAGGAGTCATAGCATGCCATGACATGAGCAATCAGCTGACAAGTGAAAGCACACCGAAAGAACTTCGTTGCAAAAAAGTTGCACTTGTTTCGTCCGTTGCAGCGGACGAAACAAGTGCAACTTTTTTGGTTTGTTTCATTTTTTTAAGTCTGGTCTATGTGAACGTCACGGTCAAGTCAAAACGTCAAAAAAAGTCAAAACGTCAAGTATTTTAATAATTAAAGGAAGTATCTAGATGTTGTGTCCCACAGAGCATTATTGTATGATTATAGGTAAATGTAACACGGTAATCCTTGAAGAGCGTGATTATTCATTTTTATTATTTTTATGACTTCAAGTGCAAAAATGGCTCCCGACAGTCTTGGATTGGAACTAAGAAATTATTGGCGATTACGTAAGTGGAATGTCACAAAAAAGTATTTGTGATAAATATCGCGTAAAAAATGGACCTATCAAGACTATCTTCCAAATATCGCTCTAGGGGAAAGTTGGTAGCAGATAACAAAGGTGGAAGACCGCGTTCCACCACTTCTAGAGAGGATTCTATGATCGTCAGATCAGTCAAGAAGGATCCCTGGATATCATCAGTCGAGATACAAAAGCAATTAAAGCTGCCTGTATCGGACCGAACAATCAGACGACGTGCTGTTGAAACCGGATTGTTTTCTCGACGCCCTGCAAAGAAACCGCTGATTTCACTAAAGAACCAGAAGAAACAACTCTTGTTTGCTACATCTCATATTGACTGGAATGTGCAGAAATGGCGAACTGTCCTGTTCAGTGATGAATCGAAGTTCAACATCATTGGGAGCGATGGCATTTGCCGTGTACGTCGACCGGCAGGAAAACGCCTTGATTTACGTTACTGCCATAAGACCGTGAAGCATGGTGGAGGCAATGTAATGGTCTGGGGGTGTTTTTCTGCTAACGGTCTAGGTCCAATACATCGAATCGATGGAATAATGGACCGTTTCATGTATAAAAATATCCTGAAAGATGTTATGTTACCTCATGCTGAATGGAATATGCCAATAAAATGGGTTTTTCAGCAAGACAACGATCCAAAATACACTGCAAAAGTAGTCAAGCAGTGGTGATGGATTAGCCGCCTCAATCTCCAGATCTCAACCCTGTCGAGAACCTGTGGGAGATCGTCAACCGCAGAATTAATCGTGAAGGTGTTTGTAATAAGGATCAACTGTTTGAACAAATCCAAAAGGCCTGGGCAGCGATTCCATAAAGTTTCATTGATCACCTGATCGAATCTATGCCTCGAAGATGCAAGGCTGTGATCGACAACAAAGGATTCGCCACGAAATATTGATAGCGAAATACAGCTTGGTCAATATTTTGTGGAGTTGCACTTGTTTTGTCCAGAAGGAAATCAACTTTTTTCAATACTTTTGGTTAATTTATTAATTTTCGTGTAAAATAATGAACTTTGTGATGTATAAAACTTTAAAAACGTTGTCTCTAAACAGCTACATAGTTATTTCTCTAAATTGAAAAAATGCAGCACTTTTATATAAAGAAACTAAATTAGCATTGTTTGGTTGCACTTGTTTTGTCCGATACTGTAAACTTTTGAAAAAGATACCATTTTAATACTTTTTTTTTCCGCTCATTAAAAAAACATTAATAAATTGTTGGCACATTTAAAAGGTTTAGAACATTCTTTAAAATTAAGTCTTATTAAAATTATTTAACTTACTTTTTTTTGACCTTAAAATAAAACTTTCCAAAAAAAAAAATCCGGTTCCACACGGGATAAATCTTGCCTGTTGTAAAACGGTGCAATTTTCATCAAAAAAATTGGTACTGTATTTTAAATAATTTAAGTCTTAAATAACTGAATTATTTATAAAAAAATATATATATATATATATATTTATTACCAATAAAAAATTAATTTATTCATATACTATCTTATCCATACATGTTATGTATATGTATACATGTTAAATCAAGCGATTCCTTTTATAAGATCAACTTATAAAGCTATATAAACCTCTGAATCAAACTTTTTGTTACATATTGATCTACCACTTTCTTCGTATTCTTGTTTCGTGACGCAATATTTTTGAACAAAATCTTCTTCCGCAGATAATACTGTACCACCATGCCACGCGTAAGTAACAGGACTAAAAATAAAATGAACTGTTAAATAAAGACATTAAAATATATATATATATATATATATATATATATATATATATATATATATATATATATATATATATATATATATATATATATATATATATATATATATAACTTAACAACAGTCTTGAAAGAAAAGCTTAGGGGCTAAAAATAAGTTACAGAACTAAAAATGAGCAATTTTTGTAGAAATTGGTCCGTTTTATATTTTATAAATGTACAAAAGTTTGCATGATTAAGATCCAAATCACTTTTAACTCCATGGAGTTAAAAGTTAACATAAATATGTTTCAAATAAAAATCATTTAAAGTTCAAAATAAAACTATCATTAAGTTACATAAGGTCATTAGTTCACCAAGTTCGCTAAACCTATCATTCACCAATATTCGTGGTCTTCGAAGTAACTTTTCTTCTGTTGAGTCTTATCTCTTGCAAAGTTCACCAGACCTACTTGCTCTTTGTGAGACTAATTTGAGTTCAGCTGTCTCATCTTGTGATCTTAGTGTTGATGGTTATCTCCCTTTAATTCGTAAAGACTCTAATAGTCGCATGCGTGACCTGGGCATTTACATTTGTAAGAATTCACCCATTTGTCGGGAAACTAGGTTTGAATCCACAAACTACTCTTTTATCTGCTTTTGCTTAGCACAACTTCACTTCATCACCTTTCTCTTTGTTCTATATCGCTCTCCTTCATCTCAAGACTGCACTCTTCTTGATGTTATTTCTGATTATATTGACCAAGCCCTCATTCTTTATCCATCAGCCAATATTGTTGTTGTTGGTGACTTTAATGTTCATCACACTGAATGGCTTGGCTCTAGTGTCAGTGACTCTGCAGGCATTAAGGCCCACAACTTTTGCCTTTCTCAATCCCTAACTCAAATAGTCAACTTTCCAACTTGCTTTCCAGACAACCCGAATCATTTACCTCCTCTACTCGACTTATGTCTTGTTTCTGATCCTAGTCAGTGCTCAGTTTCTTCACACTAACCCTTAGGTGCTTCTGATCATGGTTTGGTCTCTTTAAAACTATTACGTCATTCTTCTTTACTATCAGAATCCCCCTATCATCGTACATCTTACAACTACCTTAAAGCTGACTGGGACTCTTTCCGTGATTTTCTTCATGATGGCCCTTGGGTAGAAATTTTTCGTCTTCCTGTTGACAAATGTGCTTCTTACATAACTACGTGAATTCAGGAATCCTTTATTCCCTCTCGACGATTCCAGGTCAAGCCTCACTCTTCTCCATGGTTTTCCTCACATTGTGCTGCTGTAATTGCCAATCGAAACCATTACTTCCATATCTATCAGCAAAACAATTCTCCAGAAAACAGACGTCTGTTTATTACTGCTAGGAACCATTGTAAAAAGGTTTTGTCTAACGCAAAAGCCCGCTATTCTCAGATCATGAAATTTCGTATTTCATCACAAAAATTAGGCTCTCGTGACTTCTGGAGAATTTTTAATACTATCAATAATAAGGGCAAGTCTGTAATTCCACCTCTTTTGTATGGTTCAGACTTTGTCTCCTCACCTAAAGACAAAGGTGAATTGTTTGCCAAGAACTTTTCATCAATATCATCTCTTGATTCCACTAGTTGCGTTTTACCTGATATAGCCGTCAAACAGGTTGATCCATTGCTTGACATCCGTAGCACTCCAGCTTCTGTATCTAAAGTGATTTCCTGCTTAGATTCTTCTACAGCTTGCGACCCGGACAACATACCCGTTATAGTCTTGCAGAAGTGTTCTCCGGAGCTGTCGTCTATCCTTTCAAAACTATTTAACAAGTGCTTATCAGAGTCTTGTTTTCCAGCCTGCTGGAAAGCAGCATCTGTTATCCCCATTTTTAAAAATTCTGGAGAGCGATCCGATTCGTTCAACTACCATCCCATTAATCTTCTTTCTATCATAAGCAAGGTTTTTGAATCTTTAATTAACAAACACTTAATCTCTCATCTCGAATCTCATAACCTACTTTCTGATCATCAATATGGATTTCGATCTTCTCGTTCTGCGGCTGATTTGCTATCAGTAATAACCGATAGGTTTTATCGCACATTAAACAAAGGTGGAGAGGTTAAGGCCATCGCTCTTGACATTTCTAAAGCATTTGATAAAGTTTGGCATGCTGGTCTTCTCCATAAGCTTTCTTCTTACGGTGTATCTGGAAACATCTTTAAGATTATTGAATCCTTCCTTTCCAATTGTAGTATAAAAGTTGTCCTTGATGGACAGCACTCTTCTTCTTATTCTGTAACCTCAGGGGTTCCTCAAGGTTCAATCTTTGGCCCTATACTCTTTTTAATTTACATTAACGATCTTCCAAATATTCTCACATCTAAGGTGGCATTGTTCGCTGATGATACTACCATTTATTCTTGTCACGATAAGAAGCCAACTCCCTCTGATTGCTTGCAGGGGGCATTTGAGCTTTAAAAGGATCTCACTTCTGCTACAGCATGGGGCTTACAGTGGCTGGTGAACTTTAATTCAGATAAAACTCAATTTTTTTCAGCCAATCGTTATCGCAATAATTTAGACCTTCCTATATTTATGAACGGTAATGTACTCGTTGAGTCTCCTACCCTTCATCTTCTAGGATTAACTCTTACTTCTGATCTTTCTTGGAAACCTTATATCAAATCCGTTGCAAAATTAGCATCTGCTAAAGTTGCTTCTCTTTATCGAGCTGGACACTTTCTTACTCTGGATTCTCTGAAATCTCAAATCTGGCCTTGTATGGAATACTGTTGCCATATCTGGGGCGGATCTTCTAATGATGTCTTTTCTTTTTAAACAAGGTGCAAAAACGCATTGTTTTTGCACCTTCAACCTCTGTCACATCTCGTAATGTTCCTTCTCTTTCTCTTTTCTACAAATACTATAATGGGCACTGCTCTAAAGAGCTAGCGTCTCACTAATTAGTGGTTGCTTGCAGCCTTGTTGAAAGCAAAGATGTTTAAAAAAAAAGTTGCTTAAATTTGTCAGGATGTAACTTTGGTTGTACTATTATTAGTAATATTATTAAGGTAACTCAGGATAAAATTTTGGACATTTGGGGAACATAAACAAATGTAAGGTTAAATATTTTTACCGGTCACCGGTTAATTAATTTTAAATCATATTACCAGATGGTCGAATTAAAAATTACTATTACATCCCCATAATAGTACTAATTACTATTACAATCCCCAGTAACAATTACAATTATATCCCCATAAATGGTATATAAAAAGAACACACAACATGGCGGAAATAAATTAAACTTATTATTTAAAATATTACTGAAAAACAGAAGTAAAAAAAAATTCTTTTTTATAAATGCTAAGCGTTTCAAATTAACCTTTATTATCATTTTTTAAATGCATATTTTGGTTTTGGAATAACATTAACATGTTACCCCAATGAACTTCAAAGTTACTTGATGAACATGTTACCCTAAAGAATGTCAAAGTTACTTAACGGGTCAGTTAAAGTTTACTTACCATGTAAGTATGACCATGACCTTTTTATGTTATTAAGGTGCTCCAAGAAGTCCTAATGGTCACACAAGGGTTAACACAGGACCACACAGTAATCAAATATTTTTGTTATCACACAAGGGTCACACAAGACCATGGGGGAGCATTTAATGCATTGTTGATTAATGTCATAAATACATTTAAGTATTTAAGACCTTAATCAAGTTGAATGCATTATTTATTTACAAATAAATAACTGATTTTTTATTTTATTAGAGTTTTTTTGTTGATTAATGTCATAAATACTTTTAAGTATTTATGACATTAACTCAGGATAAACTGTTTGAAAAACTATTGCAATATAACACAATGCAAAAATGTAGCAACTTCTAAAAAGTTGCTAAAATGGGTTACAGAGAGTGGTTACATTTGATAGTGGTTACAGAGAGATGTTACATTTAGTAGTGGTTACAGAGAGTGGGACATTCAGTTGACGCAATGTAATTTTTGAAATTTTAAAAAAAAATTTCTATTAAGTTCTTTAAGTCTTTTGTCAACTATTTTCTTGGTTTTTAACTTTTTTGCTCTCTTCCAATTTAACTAGAGGTTGCTTGTAACCTTGTTGGGAGTTTGAATTGTAGAGAGAGAGAGAGAGAGAGAGAGAGAAAGAGAGAGGTAACATTGACAGCTGCACTTTAAAAACAAAATTAATGATAAATCAATAATATTATAAATATATATTTGATTTCAATTGTTAAACAATACCATTGGGATCAAACATGTAGAAATATTGCATACCAAATTTTTTTTGTTACAGTTAAAAAATATTTATATTTTTAAGATTTTTCAACACTACCTTACTTTCAACACCTTTACACTAACTTTCTTTCAACACCTACACTTTACTTTACACTACTTTACATGAGGAAAAAACTATATAAAAAAAGGTAAAATAAAAATACTTTGCAACCCCCCAACCCCCCTTTTAACTTTAAAACTCCTCCTCCGTCTGTTTTTTTAATATTAGATTTTTTTGACTTAAGTTGGCAATAGCTCATTTTTTAGTTCAAATATGAAATAACTTAATAAAATAGCACATAATAGATTAATTCTTTTCTAAGTAAATCACTACCAAATAATCTTTTAACTTTAAGGTCAGAGGGTAAAAAACGCAAGTGTTTAATAAAATATACAATTGAAATATACTAATTAGGGTCAAGCAATAGACAATACACATTTTTCAATATATAAGGGCCATCGTTACCATGGAAACTGCAGTAGGACTAATATGTCCCATCAGGCAATAAAAGCTTTTTAAAAAAATTCTAAATTAAATTAAAAAAAAAAAATGCTTGTTATTACATACACTTCTAAATGTTTTTTGATATTTCAAAAAAAAAAAAATTTTAATGTACAAAAAAACATAAAACTGATGCATTTAAAATGCAGACTTCACTCAATATTTTCTTTTAAGCTAATTTCTCAACTTCCATAAGTTAGTTTCATTAAAAGGCCAATGAATGCCTTGATTTTCTTATCTAATTGCAAATGGTACTGAATAATTAGACTTGCAGCTTTTTATTGTTGATTAAGGTAATAACAAGTCTTATTATGGGTCAAGGTTGTCTGCCATTATTAATGATTGTGCAACTGATCTATTAAACAGCATTAATGTAATTTTTTCACCACCTTTTTGAAGAAGCATTACATAAAGTACTTTCAAGAACCCAAAAAATATCTGGTGCCACCATTTTTTTGATTTTTGGTTTAGACTATAAATCGAGCAATATGTCTGGCTTGTCGACGACCATATATGAATTGAACATAGTTATGCAGAAAGCAGCCAGCCGCAAAAATTCAAACTGAAATAAAAGCATTTTTGTCTAATTGTTGAATAATCAAATCTATACAACAAATTGACCTTTTTCTGTCAGGTGACATAATGTCTTAATTTGGCCAAAAATGTGGACTGGCTGCTTTCTGCATAACTACATTTAATTATAAAGTTTGACAAAGAAATAATCTGTACACTATAATCTGTACACATCTGTACATTTTTTGTTTTTACGGTTTATTGTAGTTGCATCAGTACCATGGAAATTAGATATGCACAGACCTGTTGTCATGCCAATTATATGATATGCACAGACCTGTTGTCATGCCAATTATATGATATGCACAGACCTGTTGTCATGCCAATTATAGATTACAATACCATATCAAGAAATTCTATAATCAAAATCTCCTCTTTTCAGATCTTTGTCTCTTTTTAAATTATTTGGAAAAGACTCAAAACCTATCATCAGTACTATCATCAGTACTGATTTTTTAGGAAATGTTATATAATGTTTGTCTAAAAGTTTGAACAATTTATCACAGAAAAGACTCATACTATCATCAGTACTGATTTTTTAGGAAATGTTATATAATGCTACAAATTTTTAGTTAAGTTTGTCTAAAAGTGGTCTTAGTTTGAACAATTTATCACAATTGTTATTTGGCATAGCGCTGTTATCATTGACATGGAGGTATAATAATATTTGTGAGAACCTGTCATAAGATATTGCAGAAGAAACAAATGGTACTTCCAAATTATGCTCTGAATTCCAATAGTTTTTCAATGATGGTAGTTTGTGATATTCCATTACAAAGTTTATTTCAATAAATGCAAATAATTCAATTGCCAATGTAAATTACTACGGTATAAAAACAATGTTTTTATAAATTACGGTATAAAAACAATGTTTTTATAAATTACGGTATAAAATATTTGATTATAATTTTAGTTTAAATGTCTGTTTTGTAATTCAGAATATTTTTAAATTTTTTTTTACCATTTTTATTATTTAAGTTGAATTGTTTTTATTTAATTGTTTTTTCATTTTTATTTCTTCAAATGATTTATTTAGAGATAAGCACAGCAGACTGATTAGCATATATATACATATATGCATACATATATATACATATACGCGTACATATACACATGCACAGCCTTCATATACATATACACATACATAAGCATATACACATGCACAGCGTACATATCTATTAACTATTGTTAATGTTAAAACCATTAAAAATAATTAATAATTATTTCTGATTCTCTGATTGGATGATTAGTTTTTTAAACTGATCATCCAATCAGAGAATTAGGTAATCAGTGTGTTTTTAAAAACAAAACAACTTTTAAAGAGTTATAATAAACAAACTTTTTAGGTAGATGTACATCAACTTCAAATTCGATTGGAGCCATTGATCGCAAATCTGTGTAACTGAGGAAAAAAAATGTGTGAGTAATTGAGAAACAAAAATAAAAGTTTAAGCAACTGAGAAACAAAATAAAAAAATTTGTGTAACTAAGAAAAAAATTTGTGTAACAAGAAAAAAACAAAAAATCAAAAAAAGAAACATGAAAAAATATGTTTCATAATTATACTAGATTAATTTTAAAAATCAAATTACACTCGATTTTGAAAACCAGGCAACAGGGTATTTCCACCAGTCAATACAACATTTGCATAAAAGTGAGGATGCATTGCTAAAAATGAAAATAAAATCATAATTTTTAAACAAAACTTTATCTTTTATAAATTAACTTAAACTACTATTTTATCGTTTAAAATGGGAATTTTTAAATTAAAATTCTTTATTTTAGAAAAAAATTTGAAAAAGGTATTTTAAGTGCATAATAAAAATGAAAAAACTATGCGAATTTTCTGGTCTTAATTTTGCTTTCATAAAAAAATACTAAGCATGATTTATTTATAACAAATTTTTATATTTTTTGAATGATAAACTGAAACTTAACAATATCAACACAATGATTTAATTGAAAACAAAACAAAAAAAAATTTTCATGAAAGTAAAATACTTTTTTTTTAATTGCCATTAGGGATTGTCCACAAATTATGCAACACTAAATTATGCAACACTAAATTTCACATATAAACAAAACAAAAAAGATCAAAAGTTTTACCTCACAGAGCCTTAAGTTGAATAAAAAAATTAAGTTCAATAAAAGGTTTTTTTATATAAATTTAACGTTGCATAATTTATGGATTAGAGAAGAGAAAAAAGTGATAACTTAATTATTTAATATAAATTACTAATAAATTTAAAATAATCAATAGATGGCAGTTAAAAAAATGTTCCTATTCATCTATATATTTCAGAAGACATAATTTTGCATTATTTAAATTTCACCACTTTATTTTTTTTACAATTTTATCTGTCATTATTTAGATATTCTTTAGTTTACAGGGATATTTTGGAATAACCTATTTAATTATTTGTAAAAAATTGTAACATTACAATAAATTTTTAGCTAATATTTTTTGTAATAACCAGTTATTGGTTATAATCAGTCACTTACCAAAATCCCTATTAAAAATGCTATAATATTAGTGCATTTAAATGTTAACATCCAAAAAATGGCAGTGTAAAGACAATGTTTAATGCTTATAATGAATTTTGACAGTTAATTTTTAAATTATAATGAATTTTGACAGTTATTTTATTTCCCAGTAAGTCGAACACTTGTAAACTCAAACTTTTATTATTTTGAACTGTTTCATTTGGTCCCTTGAAATCATCTAACTGATAACTATTGAAATTCACCGGTTAAGTTGAACCTCAGATAACTCAAACTTTGTTAAGTCTAACAATTTTTTTTTGTCCCCTTTTAGTAAATTTCATCAGACAACTTGAACTTTTTGTATGGGAATTAAAGATATTTAAATCTTTTTTTAGAAAAAGTAGTCATTCCATATAAAAAAAAAATAACTGTAGCCTTATATTTTCTTTATATTTTCTTTATATTTTGTTGTACTTAGATCTTAATAGAATAGATTGTAAAATGCTATTATAAAACTGTTAAAAGATAAATTATAAAACTGTTTTAAAAAACAAAGATTTTATAGTTTAATGAATTTCTAAATAAAAGACCGCTACCATTTAGACCCAATTTTAATACAATATGTAACTTTTTTAATTGAAACATTAGTATAATGGCATAAAATTTATGTATACTTAAATTCTGACTAAAGAAAGCCTTAAGTCAAACTAATATCTTATATCAAAGTTTGACTTAAGACGAAATTCTCTTTAGTCAAACATTTGTTAAGTCAAACCATTTTCCTTGGTCCCCTGGAGATTCGAGTTATTGGGAATTAACTGTAAATAGATGAAATTTGACATAATTGGAAGATGAATCTGGAAAAATCATAATGTCAGGGAGTGATTCAAAAGAAAAAACAAGTAAAAAGCTAAGGTAAAGGCTTGGAAAGATTGTTACAATGCCCCAGGATGCAGAATGTTTGTGTAAAGCATAGCGTAAAGTGCAACCACAGGAAAAGTGAAGTTTTGTATAAAGTTAAAAATTGAGGATAATTAAGATCAAGCAATCAAAAATTGAAATCATCCAATAAAAAAAGAGAACTAAAATTTTTTCTCCATCTTTTTAAAGCAATGAAATAAGATTAGAAACTAAGTTGGATTTGATTTAACCAATCTTCAAATAATCATAAACCTCATTAAGTTGATTCCAGGTTTCTTTTTTTTAAAATACTATTGTGTTCTGAAGAACAGGTTTCTCTTTTTAAAAATAATATTGATAAATACCAAACATAAAAAGATTAATGCAGATAAGAAGGACTGGGACTTAGAATAGAATCTTTAACTATAATTCTGTTGGAAATAAAGAAATATATTGCATAAAAAATATATATTGTATAAAAAAAAAATATGTGTTTTATCAATAGCAATTTTAATGCTGCATTTGGAGAGGAAAAATTTGATAAATTCAAACATTTTTCTTGATACACCATAGTTATGAGGTAGAATGAGGTTATGAAGAAGGGCAGCATATCAGACTTAGTTAAACAGAATGCACTCTTAAAACTAGTTATATTAGTAGTAATTAATAAAAAGTAACTTGTTGCAGTACTATGATGCAGTTATATGTATAACTGAATCTTGTTTTACCACCAGCTAGAGAATGGCAACAAAATATATAACTGAATCTTGTTTTACGACCAGCTGTCACCACTAACTAAAAGCCAAGTCACAACTACATACAAACTAGCTATCACTAACTAGTGATTGCCAAGTCACAACTATTAGCAACTTTTCTAACTATCGCCCAGTCACAACAATTAGCAACGCCTCTTACTATCACCCAGTCACAACTATTAGCAACATCTCTAACTATCGCCAAACAGTCTTCTTACAACTATTAGCAATGTCTTTAAATGGTTAATTAACAAACTTTCTAGTTTACCTTTGTAGATTTATTGAAATTTACAGAACTGAGAATCAACCTATAAATTTGTTAATTTATGAAAGGTTTTCATTCTTCAACATTCTTTTGAGACTTTGTCTTAAACCTATTCATAATATGTATGACCATAGATTTTGGATGTATGACCATAGATCTTGGTACATATGTATGTTTAAAATAAAGTGATCAAGCAATATAAAGTTAATGGATTTTTAAACCTCTTTATGCAGTTTAGTATAAAACTATTTATAAATATTATAAATAGTTCTATACTGTTTTATATAAAATTAGTTATCAATTTTTCTAATATGTTCGTTTACTAAATTGAGCACAAAATTTAGTAGAAATTAAAAAAAAAAAGTTATTTTAAGAAGAATTCTATTTTCTAATTCTATGCAAATACAATAAAAGCTAATTCTATTTTTCTTTTTTTCCAAACTCATTTATCTCAAGCTTTTAATAATTTCAAATCTTTTTCAGAGTTTAAATTTTTCAGTTCATTTAACAGAAATATAAATATATCTTTTCTAGTTAATAAATTGGCATCACCAGAGATGCAAAGACAAATTTTCTTTGCATCTCTGTGACATGCTGGGTATTTTACAGAGATGCAAAAATTGACCTAGAATAGGAGTAACTTTAAAAAAAGGATTAATTTTATACATTTTAATTAATTTACTGATCTAAGAATTTTGTTGAAACTTTTATATATGCATGTATAAAATAAATTTTTATAATAATAATCATTATAGCAACAATTATTATAATTTATTTTTTTTATTATAAATTACTTATAATATTCCCTCTGGTTTTTTAAAAATAATTAAAAAAAAAAAATTATCAAAAAAATAATTATAAAAAAAAAAAATTATAAAAAATATAGTTATAAAAAAAAAAATAATTATAAAAAAAAATAATTATAAAAAATATAGTTATAAAAAAAAAATAATTATAAAAAAAAATAATTACAAAAAATATAGTTATAAAAAAAAAAAAATTATAAAAAAAAATAATTATAAAAAATATAGTTATAAAAAAAAAATAATTATAAAAAAAATAATTATAAAAAAAGTTAACAAGTGTTAGAGTATGAAGAGAGCTTTAACCCAATTCTCTCACGTAAAAGTGAATTCAGATAACATACAAATCTATATCAACATTTCAACCACATATTATCTATTAAAAGAAAATATTATTTAAATAAGGATGAGTTCAAACAAAGATAGGCTGTATGTGCATAAGGGTATATAGGTGTAATGTATAAGTCTGTGCTGTTTATGTCGTTCAGTAGAGTCTTGTATTGTTAGTAACCAGCGTAAAAGATTTGCCTCTGAACTAAACCAAGCCAGCCCAGCCATACTCCAGAAAACCATTAACGATGACCGTTACACTAACCCTTACGTGCTAGGCCCAATATTATTTAAAAACTTTGACATATAAAATTCGCCGAATGGTCACACACGAGCAGTGAACGCCTGAGGGAAGAAATGAAGTACATTAGAATAAAGGAGAATTATTTATTAGACAAAGCATATTTTGACAGTTGTCAAGACAAAAATAAAGATTAATAGAGGAATATTTAAAAATAAATAAGACAGGCTATACACCCACAACAATAATAACAATAAAAAATAAATTTAAAAAAAATTGTTTTCTAAACACCAATATGAACGAAGATATACATCACCAGACAAAAACTTATAAAACAAAAGACCGATCACAAAATAAAAAATATGATAATAACAATGAAAGGCATTTAATAATGGAAAAAAAACATTAATGCTAATGCGTAAACATAATTTGTGTAGTGATTAAGTAATAAACATCTCCTCAGAGTCGCGTCTATTATTACTGGCGTTTCGATGAGGATCAGCATTTATAACTAGTTTATCCCGTCAGACAAACGTCATCGCCACTTATGCTTTACCCCGCGACTTACGCCTATTCCATACTGCAGTAAAAAAGGACTCACTACAAATAGCCAAAACCCAACCAACCCCAAATTTGTAAAGCACCAATATTTTTTTAATGATATGATATAAAAAGTGTAGATTTACTGAACCAACAAAAAAAAATAATAATAAATAAATAAAAAATTTACCATACCACCAAAAGAAAACATGAAAACAAAATAAATTAAAATTCTAATAGAAACATAAAAAAAAAATTTCATAAATTTATTTTAAGAAATAAAACCAAATAGGTATTATTATCAGAAAGCAGTATACCTCATTAGAAAATTTTTTATATCAACAAATCAACAATAGCCTTAAATAAACTCTAACGCTGTCATAGATACCTCATTCGAAATACGACAACCAATCAAAAGTGTAAGAAAATTAGCAGCCAGCGAAACCCATAATCATAACAATAATTGAAAAATATATGATAGCGAAAAAGAACGATGCACAAAAACCTTAAAAATGTAAGCGGCATATATGTAAACAGACGCGATTTATAATTTATAACACTTTTATAACACTTTTATAATTATTTTTTTGATAATTATTTTTTTTATAATAATTTTTTTTTAATTATTTTTTTTTATAACTTTTTTTTTTATAATAATTTTTTTTTAATTATTTTTTTTTATAACTTTTTTTTTTATAACTTTTTTTTTTATAATTATTTTTTTTATAATTATTTTTTTTAATTTTGTAAAACTCTTTAAAAATATTTTTTTCAATAATACTTACGAAGAGGAAGAGATTCTATTGCATCTACAATTGCTTCTGGTATTCCCATTTGTTGAATCCCTAAAAAAAAAAAAAACTTTACAATTTTAAATTTTAAATTCGTAGTTTTAAAACATTCATAGTTTAAAATTTTATCTAATTCCCAAGAATATAACACCAATCAATAAAAACAATGTTTGACACCTAAATCACTTGGCCTAAAAAGCAACTCAGGAACAGTGAACCTTTCATTATTCATCCGTAGCAACTAAAAACAATGAATCCAAAATTTAAAAGCAAAAAATAATAAAGTATATTCATATAAAAAATTAATTTAAATCACCTGTGAAGTGCCAGTGTACTTGGTCCACATGTCTTCTTGTGACTACATTATAAAAAAATTTTCTAAATAAATTTAAATAATCCAAAGAAAATAAAGAAAATAAAAGATCAGTTGCAAAAACATACTCGAATGAAGCCACGTTTTACATCGGTATAATCAGGAAGCACATAGTCTTGTGCAATAGTATTTTCTTTTTTCTTTTTTCTAAAGAATAAATGTGTTAATAACACAGTAGTGAGCTAGTTATAGCTTTGCAAGCAGTAGGTTACATAGAGGTTACATAGGTTACATGGAGTTTACATAGAGGTTACAGAGGTTACTGAGTTCATATCTCACTATGTCCCTAGTAGCAACAGATTAGAAGTTTTTCGAGCAAAACATTGTTTATTGTTTTAGTCATTTTTTTTAACTATAAAAAAAGAAGAAAGAAATTTATAAAAAAAAAAGTAGAAGAAAAAGATTTTAAAATTTTAAAAAGATTAAAAAAGTTTCAACTAAAACAAACTTGAAAATTTCTTTTCAAATAAAAACTTTTTTTCTCTTCAAATCCATGTTATTTGTATTATATGTAATATTAAAAAATATAAAATTGTATAATAATATTTCAAACCCTAAAACTTTACTTCTAGATATTTAGCAATAGCTTGAACAAGTAAGGTAAATGATTAAGTAAGATAAATGAACAAGCAAGATAAATGAACAAGCAAGATAAATGAAAAAGCAAGATAAATGAACAAGCAAGATATATGATGTTCAGTTGTCAGAATCATGTCAGCAGCACAAGAATTAAGACATTGATGCTCTAAATAAGCTTTTATATCAATCAAATTATGAAGCATTAGATATTTCAAGAATTGTTATTAAACAATTTTGTATAGCTGTAGGAGACTCCTAGCTGTAAAAACTCTCCTTTTGTTTGTCTTTTATTAATTTAAAAACTTTAAAAAATTAAAAAAAAAAAATTTCTTTGAAGATGTTAAAGTTTTTATATGTGTTAGGTAAAGAAAGTTGTTATATATCCACGAAGCTCTTTTTTTTGATTTTTATATGTTTGTTTTTTTACTATGCAAGTGTTTACTGATGGTCAGAGTATTTGAGAGTATCAGAATTGAATATTAGAGTATCAAAATTTTATTTAATATCAGAGTATCAAAATCTAGTTATTAAATCAACAATCAAAATTAATCAACAATCAAAAAAATAATCATGAGTTAAATTTGAAGTCTAATCTAAAAAAACGTATGATATTTTCTAAATGTTTGCCCTAACTTTTGCTGAGGTTCGGTCAAAATTAATAAAGAAATGACCGAAATTAGCAAATTATTCAGTTTTAATAAAAATGTAATTTGTTAAAAATTTTTTTACAACATTTAATAAAATACACTCTGGTTTTTAAAGTAGTTGATATATACTTTCTTATTTTTTTCTGATTTTTCTGACACTTACAATCTTTCTGACACTTACAATCTTTCTGACACTTACAATCTTTCTGACACTTACAATCTTTCTGACACTTACTTAGTTTCATATGGTAAAAAATTATAGAATCAATTTAGTTACTCATTTTTGTAAATCTTTTTTATTATAAAGGTTCCATATTAAATAGTGCAAGTCCTAAAAGAGGACTTGAAAAGAGCAGCACAACATCCTTATATTGTTGTCTAGTAAATTAACTTTAACAAAAATAAGCTTAACTTTCAACTATCTATATATCTGTTTTAACTATATATATATGTAACTATCTATGGTATATACAAGATTCAACTCTCTATATAACTGTTTCAACTATATATATATATATATATATATATATAACTATCTATGGTCTATACAAGACAATATTTTCCAAACAAAATTTTGTATGAGACGAGATTTCAAACAAAACAGAGACTTTTCAAAAAAATAAAAAACAAAATAATGTGAAACTTTCAGAAAAATTTGTTTAATGACTTTTTATTATTAGCTATAAATCATAGATTATCTACATTTATCAAACTAATGTTGTTTCAAAAAACTACTAATGTTGTTTCAAGAGTCAACTAATGTTGTTTCAAGAGACAACTAATGTTGTTTCAAAAGACAACTAATGTTGTTTCAAAAGACAACTTATGTTTTTTCAAAAGACATAAGTCAATCAAAGTTGCAGCAGTCATTCTCTCCCACCTCTTACTACTACCTCTTACTACTATCTACATCAAATTGAAGTTTGACTAATTTTAACACATCTAATTGGAATAACTTTCCTGATTTGAATCCAGTTGTAACATAGCTGTTGTTAGCTCTTTCTCTGTTAGACAAGCCTGGATTTCTTTTAAAAGAACAACAAATTTTATTTACCACTGATATATTGTTAACGAACCTTATTAACACTGATTTTTTTAGTTCATTTGATGGAAGAAAAAAAAAGTCTTCTTATATTGTTTTCCAACAGTAGAACTTTAGTAGATTTTAAGACTGTAACTAAGATTTTAAGATAGAACAGTAGGAACTTTAGTAGATTTTAAGACTGTAGTCTTGTAGTTTGTAGTTTCATGTCAGATTTTCTCCACAAATGTGGAGAAAATCTGACATGGAACTACAAACTACAAGGCTACAGGAATTTTCAAATTGCTTAGATGACATTTTATTAGAATATGACTATATAATTTTTTTTTAATGTTTTTTGACAACTACTATCATTACTTGATTAAAATATTATCATTATTACTTAATGTTAGTAATTGAAAATGGTTTTTGTTTCTCTTTTTTTTTTCAATCTCATGCTTTAACCCTGCAATCTTGCCTGAATGTTGTCCAATCAAAAAAATTTTTAACTATTTTGAATGGTCTTGTCTACAAGAATTAAAATTAATTACAAGAAATAATTTTTTTTTGAAATGAGCTCTTGAATCATATATTGCCTTAATAAAGTTAATATTGAGCTCATAGGGAATACAGCTTAGTCTATACCAGGTCTAGTTGATAAAATCAAAAGGAATGGTTTAAGTAAAAATAACTGATTACATAGATAAAAACTAGAACAAAAATACTTTCTAAAACATTTTTCTTTTTTGTTTCACCTTATACCTTTTAAGATATTTTTCTTAATCCTAGTCTCATTTTTCAGTTGTCAGCCAATAGCCTGTTGGTTTTATGAATTCATAAAACCAACAAATTGAATGCACCTTGTGTGCATTCAACATGAGATTTGTCACTTTTTCAAAACTAGACATTAGTTTTGCCATTTTGAATAAGTTCCTTTTGCAATTTTTTTTTATTTTATTATTTAAATCAGTTCAAATTTAAAAATCATATAAGATGCAATTGTCAAATGTTGTAAATTAAATTAATTTCTTTTTTAGTTTATTACAGTACGTTTATTGTTATTTTAATTGTTTATTAATTTTTTATTTTCTTTATTTTTACACCTTTTTATGTGACATTATTAACATTATCAAAAATGAGTGAAAACATTGCATCACAATTGCAACATATACATTGCATTGCAATTGCAACTTATACTTTGCATTGCAATTGCAACTTTAAAAAATTTAAAAATTAAGATTATGAAAAATATTTTTGAAACCTTTAAAATTTTTTTTTTTATTCAATCAGAAAAATGTGAAAATGAATCTTTGTGAGACAATTTATGATGAGGACTCTTGTATAATCAAAAACATCGGAACTCTTCCCTCTTATTTAAAAACATTGGAACTCTTCTCTCTCATTCAAAAAAGAGCACCAACCAAAATTTTCAGATTGAAAAATGACTGAGATTTCCGAGATGAGCGAGATCTGAAAGTATATGGTAAATCAAACTTTTAGCTAATTTAACCATCATTATATAAGAACTTTTTCATCACCTTGCAAAAACTTTTCTATCATCTTGCAAGAACCTTTCCAACTTGTTATCAACAACTGCGATAACTTTATTCCATGGGTATACAAAGGAAACCAAGTCCAAAAACAGAAATAAAGTAAATAGGTTTCTACTGTAATATATATAATTGTTGAACTTGTGAAATGAAGTTGTAATAACTCTTCAGCTCACTTGAATGTGTTGCAAACTAAATGGTAAAGAACATGACTACAGAGTGATAAAGTTTTCTATATGATTTATAAGCAAAGTGAAAGTGGAAATAAAATAACAGAGTTGTTTGAAGTAATTTCTAAATACTGCTCCACACATCTGTATACACAAAGCATTGTTTGATTAAGGGTGATATAAAAAGTAAAATGGTTTATATCACAGAGATAAAGTTTGCATGTAATATGGTAATATAGAAAGGTAAATAAAAAGAATAATATGTCTAATAAACTCTATTTCAAACTTCTGTCCAATTTAAAATATTTTTTGCTTAACGGGTGACAACTAAAAAACGAGACTGGATTCAAAGACACATATCTCTTTAAAGAAGTTCAAAGACACATATCTCTTTAAAGATAAAACAAAAAGGAAAAATGTTCTAGAAAGTATTTTTATTCTAGTTTTTAAATATATAATCAGTTATTCTCAATTAAACCATTTCTTCTTACTTTATCAACTAGGCCTGGTATAGACTGAGCTAGTCTCCATTTGAGCTCAATATCAATTTTATTAAGGCCATACTTGATTCTAGAACGTAATTTTTTAAGATTTTCTGCATGCCAATTATTCTTGTAGACAATGCCTTTCAAAATACAACAAAAATTTTCGATAGGGCGACATTCTGATAATTTTCAGGGTTATCCACTTTCTCAACATAATGAACGTTTTCATTGTTTAGGTACATAATTACTGTTTTTGCATAATGAGATGATGCTAAATCTGGCCAGAAGACATATGCACCATCTGAATGATACTTATTGATGAATGGAATAAGTCTCTTCTTAATACATTTGTTTAAATAGATTTTTTGATTTACAGCCAGTCCACTTGGTACAAAATAAGGTTGAGAAATTCCATTTTCAGAAACAGCAATCCATAGAAGAAATTTCTTTAGAAACTTTTGTTTTGCTTGGTATTTAACTGTAGATGGAGTAGATTTTACATCACTAGTATAAAATATATCATTTCCATTGATACTGGAGTGATTTAACGTGAAATAAGACTCATTGTCAATGATTGGTTTATGATTTTGAATTTCTGACACAATTGACTGCACTTAGTTCTAGCTAATGCTTTTTGCTTGTCAGAGCATTTTGGAATCGTCTTTTTTTGTTCTTGATTTGATATTTGTTCTTTTTTTTTTTATGTTTTACTAATGTGTTGCTGAGTACAGTTGAACTTTTTAGGTGCCTGTCCTTGAGAAACTCCACCTTTATGGTCAAACAAGAGTTTGAGCCTTTCAATGTTTGTTTTGGTCATTTTTTTAGCTTTTACTACACTTCCTTGAATTCTTTAGTACCCAGATTCACTTTCAACACGTTTAATTATCTTGTAGATAATTAAACGTACTTTTAGGTATATTCTCAACTTTTAAGTGGTCATAAGTGAACTTTTTACTATGTTATTCTAAACTTTAAAAACTTCAAAAGTTAACAAAATGTCAATCAAATTAGTTTTTATGTAATAAAATTTTGAAACTATAATAGTTTGTAGTACAGAGACTCAAATGATAACTTTAAGTTTTACTAGTATATTACAACTATTAACTTTTAGTTATGAAAAAATCTTTTTTTTCAAACAATGAAAGTTTAAAAAGAACTAGTACAAAAGTAAAACTCAACAAAAAGAACAGAACTGGACAAAAAGTGGGTCAGAAAAATTATATCAAGTGACAATGTGTTAAAAATAAATTATATAATCTATTATTTAAAAATACATTTTAAAACAAAATCAACAAACTTTGTAATAATTAAATCTTCAAGAAATTGATTGGTAACATAGCAACAATCTTCTTTAACCTTGAAAAACAAAAAGATGTGACTAAAGACGTTCATACATTCTTTCTTAGCATCATCACAGTGTGATGAAACATCATCACACTGTGACGATGAAGCATTATCACAGTAATGATGGAACATTATCACAGTGTGACGATGCTAAGGAGTGTATGATCACCCTAGGTCTTGGATTCTTTAAATTTGTTAAGTTGCAGTTAGATTATTCAAAATTGCATTGAACTTGAAATAGATTTCTGGATTAAAACTATTTAAACTATATTGGAGAGATTGGTTCAGACATCTCTATTTGTAACTTACTGTAAGTAAGTTACAAATGGAGTAAGTTACAAATGGAGTAAGTTACAAATGGAGTAAGTTACAAATGGAGTTGTTCATAATGGAGTAAGTTACAAATGGAGTTGTTCATAATGGAGTAAGTTACAAATGGAGTTGTTCATAATGGAGTTAGGAAAGTTAGGTCTCTGAGAAAATAAAAGATTTCTTAAAAAAAATTCTTTATGTTAAATACATTAGAAATACGAAAAAATTTATCTTAAAAGTAGAACTACCTGGTTCATCACAAATGTTTCGTCTAATACATGCAGCTGTCTATAATAAAATCATTCTATATTTAAAAAGATTCTTTTATTTTAAATTTACAAAAATACATGCAGATGTTGCAATAATATGGATTTTCATGTTTTAATGTTTATAAATTAAAAAAAACAAAAAATGTATCACCTATATGATATTATTTCTTTTAGATGATTAGTTAACAACTTTCCCCCGACGTCTATCCTATAAAATAATATATCTATCCTATAAAATAATACATCTATCCTATAAAATAATACATCTACCCTATAAAATAATACATCTATCCTATAAAATAATACATCTACCCTATAAAATAATACATCTATCCTATACAATTATACACCTATCATATAAAATATTGCATTTACTATTAATTTTAAAGCAACATTAATTTTAAAAACATTAATTTTAAAGCAACAAAAAATATAAAGACACTAAATGGTATCCATGGTAATGCATAGTATGCATAAAAAATAAGAAGAAGAAAAAGAAAGACAACTCAATACAATTTTTATCCTCTCATCTTTTATGCTCTGCTTACCACATCTTACTTCTTACCTCCTTACTCCTTTCTTTAGTACTTGTCCTTTATATACTGGAACTATATGAGTGAATGAGAATCCAGAATCTACAACTAAACAGCACATATGATTTTCTGTTTTATCTTTTTTTTGTTGCCAACTTGATAACTGAGCAGCTTTAAAAAATTTTAGAATCATAATAAGGTAAACATAAATTAAACAAGGTAAACTTAAATAAATCAATAAAGTTAACTTGAATAAATTTGTAAAAAAACATATTTTCTATTTTACTTGATAAATCAAAAATCTATTATTTTTTATCTAAAAGAAATAATAAATAAAAAAAGCATTAAAAAAAAAAAAATCTTATAAAAATCCAAATTGTAACGATTCGCAATAAGTTGGATTTCTTGATTCTCTCTATTTATTTATTTAAGGCAAAAATTATTTATCAATATTAGAAAAAGTCTTAAAAGAATAACAATTAGAGTAAAATATTTAAAATAATTTTTAAGATTACTGCCAAAAAAAAACACAAAATCTAAGAAATTCTGTTACAAAAAAAAAATGTTGCGCTACATGTGGTTATAATATAATGTTGCGCCACGTATATTACATGGCCGACGACACTGGTTTTAAAGTAGATAGACACAATCCTAATTTCTAAAATAAGTCCTCTATAACTAGAATTTTCTAAAAAAATGAAAAAAAAGGTCCTAACCAGAAAATTCATGCCTCCTTTCTTTCTAATGTTGCTTTATTAGCCTGAGTCGGTATCAAACCTTGAACCTCTTGGTTATAAGCCTGAACTCTAACCAAGAGTTGGAGCCTGATAGACTGATAATAATAAAACATAACATTCATAACAAACATAACAGCAGCCCTCTGAATTAGGAAAAATTGAGAAAAATTGCAACCTAAAACTTTTTTTGGTCAAAATCAGGCGGGCACAAAATTTAGAAACAAGGTTCATCAAATCAAAAAACATGCAACATTCACCATAAAATTAATAGTAAAACTGATTTCACAGACTTCTCTTTCAAATATTTTCTTGAAAGTTAAAAAAAAAAAGCAGTATTTTACCATTTTTTTAGGATTTTAAATAAAACATTTTTAACTATTTTACCTTGTTTTATATAGAATTAATAAACTATTAGTTTTTCTGTTACTTGAACTATTTAGTTTACTATTTTATTAAGTATTTGAATTTTGTTTTTGTTTATTTTGTTTAAAATTTAATTATTTGGGTTTGTTTTATCTTTTTTGTTATAATCATTTTATTTAGATTTAAAAAATTTTTTTGTTTTTGCTTTTATAACAAAAACATTTTATGATAAGAATTTAAATAAAACGTTATTTTTTATTTTTTTATTTTGACTATTTTATTTAGAGTTTAAATAAAACATTTAATTTGGTGTTTTTTTGAAAATTTGTGTGTGTGTGTGGTTATTAAAGTGCTCCCAGAAGTCCTTACAGACTTACGGAGAGCAACAGACTTACGAACTTACCGAGAGCAACGCCGAAGAGCATTTAACTAGGAAGTTCACACCTCCTTCCCAACCTCCTTCTTTACCAATGATGCTTATTGCACTGAAGCCAGCGTCAAACCTCGTATATCTTGCTTCTGAGCCAGAACTTTAAACACTGTGCCACAGCTGCAGTGCTTAAATTTATTTATAAATAAAATTGTAGATTTTTTGTTTTTATTCTAGTACTTTTATTTAAATTTAAATTGAATGTCATTTTGCTGTTTTAATTTTGTTACTTCATTAAAAACTTAAATAAATTTTTTTTTGTCATTTTTAATTTACTTGAAATAGCGAATATTTAAAATTTAAAATTTTGAGGTTTGCAAAAACTGGCATTGCTGAATGTTGACCCTCGTTCCCAGGGTTGCTACAATCATAACAAACATAACAAACATAAAAAAAACATAAAGAGTATAAACTTTAGTCAAATATTTTTTATAAATATTTGCACTTTTAAACTTTAAAAATGAAATGATAAAAATTTAATATCTTACTTGTTATTCGACATATTGAATTAAACTTGTATTCTTCAAATAATATTTCTTCAAGACATTCCTTTAAAAAAGAAGAACTTTATCATGTTGTGTCTCACTTTATTTACTTCAATTATGCAGACAATTTTATTTTATTATTAAAAGGCTGAAAATCTTTCAATATTTTTTATTCTTTTTTTTTTTATTCTGTGTATCTCTATAGTTTCAGTCATAAGTAAAATTAAATTATATAAATAAATATAATTAAGCATGTAACTTAAAAAAATATGTCAACATTATACAACAGGTAAATTTCTACACCAGAAAAATTTATATACAAAAGTATTTTATGCACAAGAAAATTTTATATAAAATGATTATAAAAGAATATCTTCATACCTTGATAGAGGTAAAATTAAATTGTGGTTCTGTAATAATCAAGTTCGAATCTGAAACCTCTACCTAAAAACAAGTTATTTTACTGTAAAAATTACAGTAAGGTGCTTATTATGCAATGCAAAAACAGGCATTGTCATGGAAAAATAAATTTTATGATAAAAGTTTAAATTTGGAATTTATTTTGACAGTTGTTCAAGACCTAGCCACTGGCACTTTATGGTTTACAAAGAATACTTACTCCTTATCTCTGGTGATTACATGGTCAAGCCAGTTAAACATTTAGTGTAAAGACAAGAGGTTTTTGAAAGTGTCTATTGGTTAACCTAAATGCTTAGCAATCAGTTTGTTTGGTATAGAAACACCAAGTTTGTGTAAGTGGAATTATACAGTACCATAAACACAATCAAGTTTGCTTACTAAGTAACACATAGTTTATCTCAAATAGCTTTTGATTTGTTGCTTTGCGGGCTCCAAATCCAATTCCATTAGTTCCAGGATCTAGGATGATCTAGAAACATTGAAAAAGAGCTAAAGCCATTAGAGACGAGCTAAAGTCAATAAATTGTTGTTGCCTCAGTCACCGAACTCTGACATCTAATCACACATATTCTTTCTGGTTTCTGCTGTTGACATAGTTATGAACTAACATAGTTATAAACTAACATAGTTATGAACATATTGCTCCAAAAACCTAATTTACTATGAAAACTCACAAAATCTAATAACAAAGAGAGAAAAAATTAATATAAAATTATTCTTATCATTAAAAAATTTGTGTTCTACCTTTAAAAAATCTTTATTAAACATATAGTCAAATAACTGACGTTGGACATCCCAATTTACCAAATAACCCTAAAAAAAATTAAAAAATTAAATTACAAATAAATTTTTATTTAGTATGCATAATACATAAACTTATATTATATATTCAGTTTATATGTAATTACAATTATGACATTACAAATCTAAAAATGCACAAAAACTTGTTTTTAAGGCCAATACTATAGGGTAATTTTCAAACAAAAAGACAATCTTTATAACATAAAAAAAAATTTTAATTTTATTTTGTCAACCTTGTTACAAGATTGAGAGAAATAGATAGAAATAATAATTTATAAAAATTATAAAAACTGCCCAAAAAATTCTCAATTTTCTGTTAAAATCAACGATTAAACTATAACTTTTGTTTTTATAAAGATGAATCTTAACTTTTACAAAGATAATTTTAATTATAATTAAGATCGTTATCTTCGTAAAAGTTAAGATAAAGAAATGGTCTGATTAATAGAAATAATCTTGACAACTTTGCAGTAGTTATACGATGTGTGGTAGTGATGTAGTGGTTGAGTGCACTCTTCATAAATGAAAAGTTCCAAGATCAACCCCATTACCTCTTTTAGTAGAACTCAACTTGTTTTTCCCTTTCAGCAGCCGTATTTTTTAAGGTTTGTGTTTCAGAATTAAAAAAGAATTATATCCACAATAGTAAAAAAAAGTACTTGACTTTAGTGACACCCTCTTGGCCCAAGAAGTAAATAGTATTAAATTTTTTTTTTGATATTTATTTTATAAGCAACATATTATATTGTTAAAAAAACTATTGCATTATTAAAAAAACTGTTATAATATAATGTTAAAAAACTGTTTTATTGTACTTTAGTTTTACTTTTAAAGGGATAAAAAAAGACTTCATAGTATTAAGAAAAGAAAAACAGAAAGTGGTCACCCTTTAACAAAAGAATACACATAATAAATAGTATTACTCCATCCAATTCAGCATAAAAACTGCACTTTGGACTGATTGCAACACTTTTTACAATTAACTTTAATTAAGAATGATTTTTAAAAAAATATATTGAACATTAAATATTTTTTTTACTTAAGAAAAAAAATATTTATTTAAGATCTTAAATCATTTTTTTAAAATAATCTTAAAATAGGATTTTTCAAAACAAAAATTAAAACATTTAGTTTACACTTTTATTGGAGAGAAGAAAAAAAATCAAATCACCTTTTGAAATGGCAAAACATAAAATAAACCAGAAAAATCTTTGCACTCATATAATTGGTCCCCAAAGAAAATTTTTCTTCTTTCATTCTTCGCTTTTGAAATATAGTTTGGTATTATCCTAGTCAGATAATTGAACAAAAAAACTTTTTTCCAATAAAATTTGACTATTTCTTTACACTTAAAATGTAATATAAATGTCTATATATTTCTATCATATACGAAATATATATATAACCTTGGTTCATAATCTTGTACATTTCCTAATTTGTTGTTGTATGCTCCAAGATCAAGAACAGTAGTGTAAGTTGCCATTTTTCGATTTATATTTTATTATATTTAAACATTGTTATAATAAGAGATATGAACTTTGTATAAACTGTTATTGTAATAAAAAGAAATATGGAATACATCTGTACACATCATTAATAATGAGATGAATTGCTATGAATAAAAAATTCTTAGTTGTCAAATTTAGTATAATTAGTTAAAACGCAATAAATAACAAATAAAAAAATTAATAAAGATTGTAAAACATATTAAAAATAAATATTACGTGAAATGAAAAAAAAGAATTTTTAAAAAAATTGATTTTTGATTGTAAATCTCAACTTTTCTATAGACATATTTAAATAAAAAAACAGCATTATAGAAACTCGTCCAAACAAACTAGGAATAATGTTTAACATAAAAAAAATTAGCTGAAAGTTTTTAAATTTATTAATTTTCTATCAAAAAATTGTAAAATTGTTACTTACTTTAAGAGACTCAATTAAATATCATCAATTAGATATCAAATAAAACTGAGATATCAAATAAAAATCATTTATGATTTGTATGGATTTATTACAAATCGCAGCAATCGTTTTCAAAAGATCTTAAACAATTTATACAATATATTTGCTAGTAGAATGAGTAAAATTACTCTTAAATGAAACTTAGGTTAGGGTATGTTATTGTATATGTTTGTTTTATTTATGTTAATGAATGTTTTTTTGAAAATCTTTTCCTTTATTGCCTTATTTGTAATCTGCACATTATGTAATACTTATGTATTATATAACATAAGTTCATTTTGGTTTTAAATACTAGTCTTGCTGCACAATTTTGAACAGACTGCATTTTTTTAATAGTATTTTTTCAATTCCAAAGTAGAGGGAGTTACAATAATCTAGTTGTGAATATATTAGTAAACATACTATGATGCATAAATCTTGAGCAATAAGAATTGCTTTATTTTAAATATTTCGCTCATCATATCATAACATCATGCATTGGTTGGCATCATAAAATATTATTATAATGTAAATTTATCTTCTTACATACGTTATGTAATACTTGATACACATAAAATTGAAGATAAGATTTGAATAAATGACCAAATAAATTATCAACTAAATCTAAACAATTTTGTATGTTTAATTAAAAAAAAGAATTCATTTGCAGAGAATATACTAAAATTTTTAAATTCTAAAACTAGAAAAGCAGAAAACAAAAAAAATCACTCTCACTCTCCTATAATTCAAAACTATGTATTTAATTTTTTACATTTTGATAACTTTGATAAGTTTAACCAAAATACTTTCATTAAAACTATAAAACAAAGATCTGACACAAGGTGTCGAGGTGGCTTGCAAACAATAAATTATTATTTAAAACACTAAAATCCATGGCTATTTTAGTAACTGCAGCATATATTGTAGTAACATATGCATGAAAAAAACTATTTAAATTACCGTAGATAGGGGTAACTAAAACCACTTTCGAAATTCAAACTTCTGCCCAAGTCAGACCCTTTAATTTATAGGTTAAATAAATATTGCAAAACTTGGGTCTGTGGTCATATATTAAAGAAATATATTCATAAATTGCAGAAATATACATTTTTTTAATAAAAAAATGAAAACATAATGGCTTTAGTTACCCCTGGAAAAGGAGTAACAAAAGCCATCCATTAAAAAGCAATGTTTGGCTTTAGTTAGAGAGTGCTAGGGTAACTAAATCCATAAATCATGCATCTGTAACAATAAAGAACCAATATTGACAAGAAAAAAGCTTTATTATTTAAGAAAAACATTAAAAAGAGACAAAAATATTATTTAAAATAGGTCTTGTTGAAATCAGTGCTTTACCGGTAGTTCATAAGGAAAAGTATAACGTCCTCTATTTACTTTGGATGGTTTCACAATTGAAATGACGTCTGTTAACTGAGTGTCCATTTCGTCATCAACATTTGGAAATATATAGTCATATCCTTTTGATTTGGAGCTTCTTCTGAAAAACTTTACTGTAACTTCGTTCTTCTCAAAACAAGTTCTAAGAATGACTCTATAGAACTGTTTGGTGGTTTCTTTTTTTGTGTTCTTATCAAAGATGAGCTCAACAATGACGTAAATATCAGGTTTAAGTTCTCCTTTAGAGACTCCTATTTTGGGGGGTTCATCATAAATTGTTTCTTCTAGTTGTAGATCTACTGGTATCTCCGATTCCAGGTCACTAAATGTTTCTGGATCCATATCTGAATTAGAGTTCTTTGGGTTTCGAGGCATTTTTAGTCCTAAAAAAGAGAAAAAATTTAATACTGACTTATTATAAAGTATGGGGTAACAAAAACCACCTTTATGATGTGGCTTTAGTTACCCCATGTTGTGTATCACTGAAAAAAAAAACATCACAACAAAAGAAAGAATCAAGTTATAGGTTATAACCTTTAAAGGTGTGATGAAACATAAATTGAGGTTATGTTTGTTGAGAGTTATGAGAATTTAAGATTAAAAATGATTTGTTCAGAGCAGAAGTTATGCAAGGTAACTTTTTTATCAATTTTTTAGATTAAATATATAGTTTTACTTTACACTTACCGTGATATTGTTTTAATAATCCAGACAAGTATTTGGAAAGCAGTCCAAGTTCCTATTAGAAGAGCACAACATCAGCTGTTGAATCCAAACAGTGCTGCCACTATCACCATCCAAAAACTACCTGCTATAATGGCTTTAGTTACCCCCATCTACTGTAATTATAAATATTTATTTTTTAAAGCATAACAATGCTATATATAATGTTATTAACATCACAATTTTATGTCAAATGCCCATCAAATTTTTTGAAAAACATTTACAAATCTCTAATATAATTAAGGATTTCATTTGTTACATTTTTAGTTGTTATGTAATTGCATTGAAATTGTTTCTTAGACCATTGAAGTTTATATGAAACCATGTGTTTATATCTTTTACATATGCAATTTAATGAATTATTTAGTTGATAAAATTTCAAAGATAACTGCTTATTCATAAAACAAGTGACAACTTATCAAGTTGATGTAAGAAAACAACTTTAAAGCAGTAACTACTAAACATTATGATTGTAACATATTAACATTGGCAAAATCTTACAACCTTAAATTAAGATTATAAGATTTTAACTAAATTAAGGCTAAATTTAGTTTAGAGTTCTACTGGAACTCTAAAAAAAAACATAAAATAGTATTCTGGTAGAACTTTTAATATTGGTGAACTTCTACTAACTTTAATTTAGTTTTATGGTATGTGAATATCCCGTTTTTTAAACAACTTTTGGCAATTAGGTTAAACAAATAACAAAAACTCATTAGAAAAACTTTGTAATTTTGCTGGAATATTTTAACAGAAATCTGAGAGCCCTAATGTAATCTATTTTGGTAAGTGCATATTTAAGAATTCAAAATAAAAATCTTAAAAATAATTCCGCGCGCGTTTACAATTTTTTTATACAAACAAATTTGGGTAAGTACCAAAGGCAGATGGCGGGAGGCATAATGAACTGGCATAAGTACGAAGCGTTATAAAAACTGGAATAAGTACGAACTGGTATATGTGCGAATTGGCATAAGTGTGCCAAAAAAATTTGCAAACATTGGCATAAGTGCGAATTGGTATAAGTGCGAACTAGCATAAATGCGAATATCGCACTTATGCCAATGTTTGTAAATTTATTCGGCGCACTTATGCCAGTTTCTGTAACTACTTCGCACTTATGCCAGTTCGCACTTATGCCAGTTCGCACTTATGAAATTCGTGCTTATTCAGTCATCCCCTATGGTAAAAACCTAATAATTCGACAGATCACATGCACATAAAGCAACCCAAACCAAAAGCTAATCCTAAAAATAATTAGTAGTTGAGATACTTGTATACAAATGTTTTTTGTGTTAGGTAGTAAAGGCCTTACCAATAAAAAAAAATGATCTGCCATATTCTAATATGATGATATAATATGATCTGCCAAATAGTTTGGCAGATCATATGTTAGAATTAGGTTGTTCTGATTTCCACCAGCTTAGTTACAACGTATCTCATTGAATTGAAGATGAATGGTAAAATGAATATATCATCTATAGTTTTATACTAACTGTTGAGAACAGGGTTGTCCTGAAGAGGTCTTCAATGGAAGAGTGTTGTACGTGTTTTTTGCCAACTAGAGACACCAAAAAAAAAAGTCCTTAATATTTGCAATTTGCCAGCTATAGTTCAAAACTTGCTCAATGTATCAAATCAAATGCTTAAATGACAGCTTTGGGGTGGTAGAACACCCCTAAACCTCTCTTTGGGACGGCCCTGGTTGAGAATGTATCCTTTTTACCAACAAATTTCAATCGAATGTGATACATGGTACCTATTTGATTATTTCTACCATTAAATTTCAATATGAAGTTTTTCATTGCACATGTATAAATACAATATTTATAAAATTTGTTCGACCCAATTATTGTGCAATCTCTCATAAGAATTCAGCTTACTTTATAATTAAAACGTTTGTCTTTAGAAGAGATTAGTAACAGCTTGTACTTGCTAAGAAATTTTTGAATGATAAAGAAGGTTTTTGTTATGATACTTCTAGAAAAATTTGAAATTAAGGAATACCATAAGATTGCCTAATTTTAATATATTAGAGACATGGTATAGCACATTAGATTTAAAGTTACTAAACTGAAAATATGTAATTTTCAATTTTATTTTGGAGATGGGAAAACTTTAAAATATTTGTTTATGGGAAATATTTATTTATATTCCCCATACTTAACATGCATATCTTATATAGGACCCAAAAATAGCTAATAAATGGTATATATTTAGTAGAATTTCTTTACATAATTGCGGACTTTGACTAGCATTCGATTCAATCTGCTGAGTTTCGTTGCCAAGCCATTTAGATGGTCTTGAAAAGAAAGATTAGAATCAATTTTAATGCCAAAATATTTAATAGATATTCTAAAATATAAGTTGCATTCAAGTTATTATATAAGTCGCAGCAGAAAAACCAAACAGCTCAACACTTATTTTAGATAATGTCAAGGATTTTTGCAATTTTTACAAACTAAGTTTCGAAGACACGATAGAAAGAAAAATAGAACTAAAATTAATGT